ACCCATCCACCCATCCATGCACCCATCCATTTCTTATCTGTCTGCCCATCCATCCTCCCATTCATCCCCCTACCCACCCACCCATCCATGACACCCATGACCCCAGAGCCCATGTCCTACTAGTTATTCTATATTACCATTTATCAGTTCTTAAAAATTATGGAGTAGAGGCACCTGGGTGGCTCAGTTGGTTGAGAGTCTGACTTCAACTCAGATCATGATCTCATGATTCATGGGTTCAAGCCCCTCATCAGGCTCACTGCTGTCTACACAGGGCCTGCTTCAGATCCTCTGTTCCCCCCTTTCTCCTCCCCTCCTCTGCTCATGCTCTGTCTCTCAAAAATGAATTAATATTTTAAAAAATCTTTAAAAAAGGCTATGGAGTATATCACATTTCTCCTTTTACCTTGGCTTCTAGGAAGTTCAAAGCCAAATTTAAGTAGTAACTTACCTTTATCTCATTTTTTAATATGATTATCTCACCCCTTACCAATATTTTGACCTTTAACTCTTATTTTGAAGGTTTACTTCAGCTGTTCTTTATGTTGTTTCCACTTGAAACCCTTTGGAAAGGAAATGAGGGTATAAAAAAAGGGATTCTGATAAGAGTAGACTATGAGATGGCTGGAGAGACAGATGTCCAGGCAACTGTTATCTTGGAGATGTGTGTCACAGATTTAGGCAAATATTGCTTCTATCATGCAAACAAAGATCAGTTCTGGGGTTACACCATGGGCAATGCTCCTGAACAAACCATCTTCTCTCACCCCCTCCCATACACTCCTTTTGCTCACAACTTTATCAAAATCTCAGGGTAGTGTAATGAAGGAGGAAGGACTCTTCCCAGCATGTGATTGGGTCTTAGCACAGGGGGAGGTTCAGTAAAGGGTCATGACTAAATGATGGGTATGCCTTGATGACTTTGGGCAGAGAGAGGGGCAAGAAACAAGGAACAGAGAAAGAACATGCCTTAGCGTAAGGAGACCTGGGTCCTCACACAGATGCTATCCCTGAAGTGCACTGTAAATTCAGTCAAGTGTCTCTTGCTTCCTGACTCAGTGTCTACCTCTGTAGAATAGGAGCTTGGGCCAGCTGACCACCAAGTCACATGATTTGGGGAATTCAGTTTTATCTACTGAAGGGAGAGATTAAGTATTGCATGCAGGGAACCTGGCTTTCCTCCTGGAGTGGAAGCCCAACCTGTCTGTAGATCCCCCTCCTCGTTTCTCCTATGTGAGGCTCCCGTAGGGCCTTAGTGAAGTCTCTTACCTTCCTAGCCAGAGGGCTCCTTTCTCCTTTAGGAGGAGCTGTCTCAGTCTTGCCCTTGTAGTTGCTTGTAAAGTCCTCCACACCCCACCCCCACAATGAACATTGTATGTTCATTTTGGCTTCTCACTCTTGGCTCTGTATGGGAATATTTACCTCAAATCTTCCTGGAGTGCTGAGATGGTAAGTTATCACTGTCTTAGAAAAACATTAGTAGATGGAGCACTACTCCACTTTTAGCCTCATTTAGAATGTGTTTGGGAGTGTCACTTGGATTTAGACTTCAGTCTTCCAGGCAAGGGATGAAGAAAGGCCTCTCCAATGTGCAGAACAGGAGGTTGGTAGGCTGTGTTTTCCCCTTCTTTCAAGGCAAATCATCAGGCTCAGAGGTCCAAGAGAGTGCTTCTGTTTCAGGATGGTGTAGAGGGAGGGCACTAGATTTGGAGGCCTGAGACAGTTCTGTCCCATTTTAGTTGTGACATTGGGCCTTCATTCCCACAGATGTAAAATGAGGGATAATAATATTTAGTTGATAGGATTTTTATGAGTATCAAATGGGATGACTTGTCTAAGTGCCTGATACAGAGCCTGCTACAAGGTAGTGATCAATAAACAGTGTAGGGAAAGAAGAGTTTGTTTATGCCCTGTGAGAAAAGTCTCTCCTGGCTACATATATCTTTCTTTCTTTCCATTTCTCCATCTATTCATCCACCTATCAATTTGCCCATCCATGCATTTATCCATGAATGCATGCATGCATCCATTCACCCTCCATGCATTGCATGCATGTATCCACTCTTCCATCCATCATCCACCCATCTATCCACCCATTCATCCACCCGTCCATCCACTCATTCACCCACCCATCCACCCATTTATCCATTCATCCATCCATCTATTCACCCATTCACCCATCCATTTCCCATCCATCTGCCCATCCACCCTCCCATTCATCCTCCTATCCACCCACCCATCCATCCACTCAAGATTAATTTGTCAATTGTTACTGAGTGCCTATTACTTACTAGGAACTATGCTAAGTCAATACTATGGCAATACTGTGACAAATAAGACACATTCTTTGTTTCTAAAGTGCTCACAGGAAAGACAAACAAGTAAATGTTATGATATGTGTGTAAAGAGAAACAGAAACAGGTGGAGAGGAAGGTTCAGTTGAGGATAGGGATTCCCCTGGAGGAGATAATGCATGAGCTACATCTCAGAGGCTTAGTGGGAGGACTGAGCCAGTAAAGATGGTGAGGGAGGCACTTTCTGGGTACAGTCTGGGTGAAAGCATTGGGGCAAGAAGCTGTATGGCATGGGTGGGGAACAAGCCTGGGTTTGTTATTTTGGCATATAAAAATGGAAGCAGAAAATGGCAAGTGTTGTGTGGAAAGGTAGGCAGAAGACAGATGGG